TAATATTATCTGTAAACAAACTTAGATCGCTATCTTCTTATTTCCCTGTTTTCATAATACAGAAAAAATTAGCCAAATACTAGTATGGATACTTGGGACAAAACCCTAACTCTCTTGGAAACACAATGTCATCCTTGCACCCCAGGTTGAATAGGCAGAAATGCTTATTTCCTCATAAGAAAAGAAGCACCTCCTGAGACCAGGTTTGTCTGTCTCAGCCTGTGTGCACAGGCAGACTGCAGACACTTTCTGCTTTGAGTTAAACACCAAGGGACAAGGAAAGCTCACAGCTTGCAGGGGGTCAGCAAACAAGCCAAAACTTTTCAGATCCTGCTGACTGACATCTCCAGCCATCTCATAATTTCTCATGATTTTTAACACAATGTGCACAAGTCTGTTTGCTTATATAACAACTAATGATTCAGCTCCCAGAATATTATTGTGAGGGTGATAGAAAGAAGAATTTCCTGTTAAAGGAAGAAACTTTGTCATCTGGCTTGTCCAGAGTGCACTTCCATAGAAGGGCTGGGGTTTTAGACCAGAAGTTGAACATCTAGGTCATTGATGTCACCTAATGTGAGCAAACACAGTTTAGGAGACTAAGCCTGTATATGCAACTACCTCATGTGTACAATCTCCCCAATCTCAGGGTGTGTCTAAGGCACATGGTGCTTGCTCTCCTGAGGGAGAGAGGGGTATTTTGTGATGCAGCATACACAGACACTGCTCAGGCCTAGCCAAGGTGAGAAGGTTCCTTGAGCCTTCATCCTGGCCCTGGCCCAGGGGTGCAGGTTTGCATCCCCATCCAGCCAATGCAGGAGTCTCCTCCCAGTGTCTGAGCCCCTGGCAACACACATTTCCAGCACAGGTGTCTCTGCCCTCACAAAGCTCTTCTGCTTCACATGAAAATACATAAATATTCATGGTCAAGAGTAAGTTTCAGTGATTGCATGTAGCATCAGTGGTGGTATCCATGATACCACTGGGGCTGCCAGAGGTGTGGGCAAGTACTGGCAACCAGGAAGGAGCTTTACTAAGGTAAGCTTGCCTTACCTTAGGGATGACAGCAGTTTGCCATCCCTCCCTTGTTGCCCAGTAGTCAATGTACCTCAGGGAAGACCTAGGATTCAGGCTATGCTTGAACAGGTGTTTCAATTTATTGCATAATTTAGCCTTAGCTCACATGCAGGCAGTTGCATAAATGCTTTACGCATCTGTCTGCTCAGCTTGCCATTTGCTCTAGCTCCCCTTTTTGGAAGCCTACTTGATATAATATCCTGTACTGGCTTCCTGACCTGGCTCTCAGCCAGGTCTGTGTAGGCAACTGGGTGCCAGTTTAGGGAAGACACAGATTGCAGACGTAACAACACAGAGCAGCTGGAGTGCTTGTCCACCTTGCAAAATGTAACACAGATTTTTCTGAGTTAGCTTGGGGCTTGACAGAAGTATCGTTACGCCGGGGATACCAAATGTTGTATGAACAAAAGTGAGATAAAGAATTTGAAGAGATCACTGTATTAATGCATACATATGTCTTCTAGTGCCAAAGCTAACAACTGAGATGTGGATTAGATTAGATTTCTCTTTGCTGTGTTGCTGAGCATAGTCTGCCTTGAAGGTGAAGAAACTTCTGCACCTTGTGTCACAGGGATAAGGAAGTGAAGGGCTGAAACTGAATACGGCACTTTACAAGCACATCTCTTGCTCAAGTCAGAATCTGACTTCCAAAATATTATCAATGGCAATCTTGAAAACCCTTCAGCTAGTTCATACCAAGCACTGTCAAGAACTATCTAGTGATCTCTGGGCTTTTTCCTTATGGTATCACCATTTGTACACAAAATTAATATAAATTCTTCAATCTAGAATGAGTGATGTAAATGCAACAGTAAAGCACAGGTGTATGAGACAGTGCTAGAGAGCTGTGACCCAGACACTGAGGGGACAACTGCTCCACACAAAACCAGAGGTGTCTGCAAGGTGGGTAGCACCTTAGTCCCTTGTGTATGTGACAAATCCCTGCTGCTGTCTACTGTGAACAGCTGTGAGGACAAGAATACCCTGAGGTGAGAACTAAGTAATTGCAACACTATTATTTCACTTAACACCATTCTCCACTCACAGCTTTCAAACCCAGAGTGTTTTGAGGAGGGAAACTGCAAAACTGAACAAGCATCAAGAGTGACTTACTCTTTTCAATGATATCATTGTGTTTGTGGCACCATCAAAGATCCCAGCCTGACATCAAGACCCCTCTTCCCCATGGGCATTTTTCCTACATCCAGCATGGGGCCAAAGAGAGGGGGAGGTAAGACAAATTAAATGGTTGCTGGCAGTGTGCCCGTGACAGATTGACTAGCTAAGAATGATTGAAGCTGAAACCCTAAAGTATGGATTGGTATCTCTTATTTTTCATGGTGCTTCTGGTGCACTGGTTCAAAATATTTGCTTTTTACCTCTGGGAAGTTGGGCTTAGGTTCATTCTGGGAGCCAGACAATAACTGCAGTAGGGAAGTGCAGGCTGGGGCCATGCCATGCTGGCTGTCAGTGCCCCCAGAGCCAGTACTGCCCAGCAAGTGCTTTCTCCACAAGGCAGTATGAAAGTGTGACATTCATACAACAGCAGTCACACTATAGTCAGGCCTCCTTAAGTCCATTACATCATGAGAATGGCCTTCTTAAAATAGAAATAATTCTTGAAGATATATGTATAATGAGATAGGAAAGAGAAAAGTGGCATCAGGGCACTTAGAGAAGTATAATTCCTGTAAAATTTTCTTCAATAATTAATTTCTCTGCTTAATTCATAGATGACTACACCTAGTTACTCTAAGGTAGATTTTGGAAATATCAAGGCAGACTTATTATTTGCCACAGGAGTAAGATATTTTTATATAAAGAAGCCTGGTGGTCTGACAGGCAGTGTCTAAAATCTCCATCAATGTGCCTTGTGCTTGCATGCAAGGGTTTATCTTCTGCCATGGTCCAGGCATTACATCTCTGCAGAAGCCACTCGTGTTCCCTTCTGGCCTACTTGACCAATATTCTCCCGCTGGACCCTGAATTAGGACCTTGAGTTAGGACATTGAATCCTCTGAATTAGGACCTTGGCCTAATTCAGAGCTGGGAGGGGGGTGACAACAGGCTGTGTTTGACACCCACAGAGGCATTAGTGCACCCCCTGCCCTGTAGTTTGCAAGCCCATCAGTGCTGAGTGCACTGCCTGTCCTGCAACTCCAGCGATTGAAGGAGGAAGGTCAGTGTGGTTATCATCTCCAGCACAGAACTGTCCCCTCTAACACCTTATTTACATGTGCTGTGATTTACACAGCCCACCATGATTATTCAATTAGCTCCCACAACTTTCAAATTATTTTTCTGGCTTGGCAGAGCCTCCCTACCAGCATATTACTTTTGATGCTAAGTATGCCCTTTCATCTGTTAATTTTGTTTCCAATTGCTGTTGACTACACCTGGCAACTCTCTTCAAATAAATCCTCCATTCCACTGAAATTTCTTGAAAATGTTCTCTTTTCTTCTTTCCCCCACTTCCTTTTAATTGAGCGTTTTCACACAGTTAGGTCTTTTAATGCATCTCCACAAATCAATACCACCACTTCCTCTAAAATGTTGATGTCTTTATTCTAATTTCCCATCAGTTTCTTATGGTCTTTCTTCTTCTGACTCTTGCAGACCAAACAACCAGCAGCCTGTGCATCATATTGCCTGCACTAGGTACACTAGGTAAAGGGCCACCCAGACTCTGTTACATTGCAATTACAAATTGAACTGTTCTCTCTCTCCTTTTCTTTTTTCTTTTCTTTTCTTTTTTTTTTTTTTTGAAGTGCTTACAAGCCTTCTCTGATTTTTTTTTCCCGCATGTGGCACCTTTCTGAGGCTTCCAGGTAACATACTCAGGTGTGACAGAATTTATGGGTTTTTTAGGAGTTTTCTCTCTATCATCATAGGAACACAATAAATGCCACATTCTAAGCCTGTAGCAAGCCATGTGCAATCTCAATCGAGAAAGGCAAATTTTGCACCAGACAGCAACATCGTCCAGAACCAGATCCTCCTCTGTGCTGCAAAAATTGGACTTTTAATCCAATTTTTTTAAATTCGTGAAGCACTATGCACAGAATCACAGAATCATAAAATAGGTACGGAAGTGATCTCTGGAGACCATGGACTTCAATCCCTCCACCAAAGCAGGGTCAACTCCAGCAGGTTACACAGAGATGCATCCAGGTGGGTTTGGAATGCCTCCAGAGCAGGAGACCCCACAATCCCCCTGAGCAGCCTGTTCCAGTGCCCTCCCACCCTCAGTGCAAAGTTCTTCCTCAGGCTGAGGTGGAATTTCTTGTGTTGTAGTTTATGTCTATTACTCCTCGTACTACCGCTAGGCACTACTGAAAAGAATCTGGCAGCATCCTTCCGGCATCCGACTTTGAGATATTTGTACGCATTAATGAGACCCCGTCTCAGCCTCCTCCGAACTACACAAGCCCAGTTCCCGCAGTCCCGCCTCGTACGGGAGATGCTCCTGATCCCAGAGGATCCATGCGGTCTCTGCCCCCCCGCTCCCGCAGCTCCTGGTCATCCTTGCGCTGCGGAGCACAGGACGGGACCCAGCAGTGCCGGTACACAGCACAGATGTGTCCGTACAAAGCCCACGGCGTGTCTCTGAAGAGCATTCCCGAAGAACCTCTGTGGGATCCTGTGGGATCCTGTGGGACCCTCGCGCCCCCCGCACACCCGGGCCCCGCGTTTCTCCTCCCGGCGCCCCCTAGCGGCCGCCTGTGCCCGCACCGCGCCCTCCAGCAGCGGCGTAGTCCCGCCCCCGGGCGCGCGGAGCGTGGCTCTGATTGGCCGCGGCGGGGCCGCCCCGCCCCCTGCGCAGGGCCGGCCCTGGCGGCGGGGCCCGGCTGTCATGGAGGCGCCGGACGGAGCACGGGCAGCGGCGGCGGGCGCGTCCCTCTGAGGGCGGCAGCGGCGGCAGCGGCGGCGGCGGAGGCGGGAGACGGCCCGGACCGCCCCGGGAAGGTAGCGCGCAGCCTGGCGGGCCTTGCCGGCCGGCTCCAAGCACGGCGGCCGCGGGGGTTGGGTGCCGTGCGGGAAGGGAGGGAGGGAGGGGGATGGGGCTGCGGGGCTCTGGGCGCAGCGGGTCCGGTGGTGAGGCGAGCGGAGGGCTTGAGCTCTCCCCGGCGTCCGGGGCTTGGCCGGAATGCGGCCGTCGCCTTCCCCGCCCGGCTGCCTTGGAGGTGCGTGTCTGCGGGTCTTCCGGCGGGAACCGGGGGCTCTGTACTCGGGATACGCCCCGAAAGGAGTCGGGGGTGCAGCTGACGGAGGCGCTCGGGAGAAGAGGATCGTTCTGTGTCCGGCGTGGATAACGCGCTGGTGGGATCAGCCCCCTCCTCCCCGTAGCTTTCCTCAGGGGCCACCGCGCGGCCCGGGAGAGCCCCAAGGAATGCAGCTGGACACCGGCGCGCCACAGCAGCGACTTGTTTGGGTGTAGCTGTGGGAAAATACAATGCGGTTGCTTGTTTGCGAAGTAGGAGGTGAAAACATCGAGAATTCTCCTTTTGCAGATTTGTGATAAGCACAGCCTGCGCTTCGTCAGGACCCTGTTTGGAGTCTCCATGTTGTCCTATCTGGATGAAACTGATCTGAGAAGAAGGTGGGGACATTCTGTTTGGGCTAAGCACTTCCAGTAAACTCTTGGCTGAAAAATTCAGGTGTGTATCCATCGGGAAGCAAGAGAGGTAAAGGCTAAATGGATCTAAAGACAGCAGTCTTCAACGCTGCTCGTGATGGCAAGCTGCGGCTCCTTTCCAAGCTACTGGCAAGCAAAACAAGGGAAGAGGTGGCCCAACTGATGTCAGAAAAAACCAATGGTGCCACGCCACTTCTCATGGCAGCCCGCTATGGTCACCTCGACATGGTGGAATACTTGTTGGACCATTGCTCTGCCTCGATAGAGGTTGGTGGCTCGGTGAATTTTGATGGTGAGACCATCGAGGGAGCTCCGCCGCTGTGGGCAGCATCGGCCGCCGGCCACTTGAAGGTTGTCCAGTGTCTGTTGGATCATGGTGCGTCTGTCAACAACACAACGCTGACAAATTCAACGCCTCTTAGAGCTGCCTGTTTTGATGGTCACCTGGAAATAGTCAAGTACCTTGTGGAGCACAAAGCAGACCTGGAAGTATCAAACCGTCACGGGCATACGTGCTTGATGATCTCATGTTACAAAGGCCACAAAGAAATAGCTCAGTATTTACTTGAAAAAGGAGCGGATGTGAACAGAAAAAGTGTTAAAGGTAAGTTAGTTTTTTCACTTTCATTGTAGTAAATAGAGGTAAAGTTACTAATTTACTTCATAAAGAGCCTGACATAAAAAAAATTCTTCTGTTCTCATAAAGCATAATATATAAAGCGTTTATAACTATGTTTTTACTTTTTCTTTTTAATTTACTGGTTTTTAACGTGGATTATAAAATTGTTGTTTAAATTGATACATTTTAATCTTAAATCCCTAATTCTTAAAAGACTTAGTCGTATGAAGTGTCACATTTATGCATGTGTTAAAAGCTAATAAAGTTGCTGAAAACCACTCTTTGTAGTAGGTTGGTCTAGCAGAATACTCAAAAACATGAGCATGTGTTCTTGGTTTTTGTAGTAATTCTTAAGAAACCAAGTGTGCTGTACATAAAACTGATTAGTGCCAGTAAGGCTGATCTAAGGAAACACGCATAAAGAAGAAGAATTACTTTCTGCATTCAAAAATTAATAACCACTTTCCTCTTCACCCACTCTCTCCAAATTACTGAGTAATTTTATACCTTTTTCAGTGTTAGTAAGCAAAAATATATATTAGGATTGAAGAAATGAAGATGCAGGTGACGGTGATCTCAGCAGAGGGGCTTCCAGTGGCTCACAGATCTCAAACCCTTTTGCCCCTGTTTACAATTGCTCTGGTGTTACCACACAAAGTAAAGATTTCTGGCTTTTTTTCCTGTGATCATAATTAGTTGAACATACAAATTTTCTATTACATATCAGACTTGTATTTAGTTGTGATATTAGCCTGAAAAGCACACCAGTTGCTTCAATTTACAGCTAATTTTTTATCTCACTGAGCCAGGATTATGTTTCATCAGATTTTGGGTTTTTTAATATATATAAATACATATAAAAACTAATCTGCTAGCAGTTGTTTTGTAGCATAATAGCTCTGCTGCCTTTTTCAGGTTAATTACATTTGTAACTGTATACTGTACCTTTCAGTTATTGGTGTTAAAATATCCCTTGTGTTTAAATTGTTGTATGATACTGGTAAATACCAAATGTGAGAGTAATCTTTAGAAAAGCTGCTAATATGCCTTAAATATGGTTAAATATGCCTTTTCTCAGCAAATCATGCAAATATGTGGGTTTAGCGTAAAGAAAGCTAAACTACAGATTTGTCATGGAGGTGGGCAGAGCAAAATAAATCTTCCTTTGTAAGGGTTTGAGGTTGCTCATGAATCATCATGGACTTGTGGTAGGATAAAAATGTCATTTTTCTAAATAACATTCTGGGAATAGCAAGCTAAATATAAAGTGTGTAAGCAACTGAAAACTTGGGGTTTAGTTTTGAACCTATCCATTTATATGATAGGTGTGAACCAAGCAATGCTCTTAAATACTTGATTTAATTGGGAAAAAGATGTAATTCTGCAGCTCTTTATCTCCCTTATTTTGTGTTGGTGGAGTAGGCTTTACCTTAGTTATCCTTTTTATTCACTTTATTAGTGAATTAGCATTATTTGTGTTTGTTTAAATGACTGGGGATTTTCTCAGTGGTGTCAATTATCTTAATTCCTTTCTATTTCCTTTAGTTTCTGTGTGACTTGCATCTAGGCAGACAAGCAAAGGTTCTCAAAGTAGATAAATGATCCTTAATTTAAAAAGTTGGATTGGATATGGTTCAGTTCATTGAAACTCATTTTACACTTGAAACTGTCATGTGTACAACTGGATGTGTGTACGTAATAGCTGTCTGTTGGTAATGTGTGGAAGTCCCCTCTGGTATGACAGGAGCGTATTTTTGGTATCTTTAAGAAGTTTTATCTCTGAAGTTACTGAATAAGCAGTGGTGAGGTCAAGCAAGCAAGCAAGAAAGTACTATAAACCCTGAACGTCATTTGCAGAAAGGCAGAACTGAGGACAATTGGTAGCTGTAAGTACTGTAACAGTGGCTGAGATTCAGCAGGTAACCTCCTCAGTTTTGTTTTGCAAAAATGTTATTGATTTTAAAATTAGTCAAACAATATTCATTCTGCATTGTCACCCTCTCCCTCAAAGAATCTTGTATTACTTTCAGTTTCTACTCCTCCCTGCTGTGTCCTAAATAGCTGACAGAGTGTCCTGTGCTTGTAGCAGGGAGATAACAGAGCATCTGAGTGTTCTGCTCCCCAGTAGTAAGAGTTGCTGTGCTTTTATGTGAGTTCTGTTTAGACAGGCACCTTCCTGGGCCCTATATAGAGAAGCCTGTTCTTTCCTGAAAAATGTAAAAAAAAAAAAATTGTCGCATTTAAAATTGCATACTCCTTAAAAGAGCAGAACTATTCAGTTGAGTTGTTGTTGTGGGAGATTTCTGTAGATCCTTTTTCACATCCTTAGAGCTTGTGTGAGCGTGAGGGGCAGAATTACTTGACCTATGTCTTGTGGTTTTCCACTGGATTTTCATATTGCAGAATATCACATAATACGTATATTAAGCTTCCTGAATATATAGATATGAAAATGTTTCAGAGTGTTGACAGTTTCAGGGAGAAATCTGAATACTTTGATAGGAAAAAATAGGTACATTCACATGCATCTAAATGTATGAAAGAGTAGGTGAAAACATGGGATGAAATCTTGCTTCTAAAATGCAGAATCCCACAGCTGTGTTTTGGACTATGGAAATTCAGAGGTCAGAGGTTCTTGAGAAAGTTGCGAAAGTATGGAAGTACAGCCAGGAAATTAAGATGTTCATAAAGATTTCAGAGTGTGTCAGGTAAGATGCTGCACTGAGGTGAATGAGGTGAAGTGTAAGTCTGGAAGTGTCACCTGGTGGATGGTGCTGAAGAGGGATGTTTGGGTAAATGATTCCTCAACTGTGAAAGATGGCCAGTGGTTCTGAATTTAAAGTACGAGCCTTTGATGGTATTTGTTTCTACTGTTTTGCAGATCTGAACTTTCTCACAGTTTTCCTGAGCTTCTATGTAGGATTTAGGCAGCAGAAATGTAAACAAAGTATATTTTAAAAAGTATTTTAGTTTACATGAACAGTGTAAATGATGGGGACAAACTGATAGGTGGGGTAAGAAGGGTGGGTGGGTTCTATTATTTTGTAATGGTGGAAAACAGCAAAGATATCTACAGATAGGAAGCAGCCTAAGCAATACTTCACAAAGTGAATTCATTTACCACTGTCTCTGATTCATAGCTTTCACCAGTGTTCTGCTGTCATGGCTTAATGCCAGCCAGCAGCCAAGCCCCAGACAGCTGCTTGCTCACTTCCCCGCCAGTGAGACCAGGAACAGAATACTCGTGGCTTGAGATAAAGACAGCTTAAAAAGGAAAACAAAAGCAGAGCACACAAGCAAAGCAAAATGAGGAATTCACCACTTCCCATGGGTGGTCCTGCTCCACAAGAGCAGGTCTCCATCATGTGTAACACTTACCTCAGAAGACAAACACCATCACTCCAAATGGTCCACCTTTTCTCTTTCTTCCCCCCAGCTTTATGTCCTGAGCATGATGTCACATGGTCTGGAAATCCCTTTGGTCAGTTTGGGTCACCTGTCCCAGCTGTGTCTCCTCCCAGCCTCTCATGAACCCCCAACTTCTCACCAGTGGCAGCACAAACAGCAGAAAAGGCCTTGGCTCTGTGTGAGCCCTGCTGAGCAACAGCAAAAACATCTCTGTGTTATCAACCCTCTGCTCAGCACAAATCCAAAACACAGCCCCTACCGGCCACTGTGAAGAAAATTAATTCTACCCCAGCTGAAACCAGCGGAACAACTCCTCATTTAAGAAGCTGCAAATTAAAAATAAAGTTTAACGAGTTTCACTTGTAGTTAATGATCTCTCAGATGGCAAGTTTTTATGCTGTTCCTAAAAGTAGGAAGAGTGTGGGTAATGTTAGAGTAGCAGAAACACAACTTTTTTCAGAAGGTGGAATCCTAGAACTAAAACCTCAGATGAAGCACAGTTTTGTCTCTGTGCCAGATGAGGAGCATGTTCTGTGTCAGCTGCATGCCGTTTTCTGTTCTGCTGCACTATGAAGCCTGCCAGTGATTTGTTGTTAGAGTGGTGCCACCTTACTATTACCTTCAGAACAGACCACTGCATTCTCAAAGACAGTGTTTCGTTGATGTGCACGGTGTTCATTTGGTGATGTGTAGGCAGGGAAATGTTTACTCTCTTAATACAAGTGTCGGTCATTTTAAGGATTTCAGATTCCAGATTTGGGCTCTTTGAGGCTATCTTTTTTGATTTTTTTTTAATTAAAGGTACAATATTTCATGTAAGTTCCCCACTGAAATATTTTTCATTCAGACTGATTGTAAAGAAATCTTATACTTCTGCTTCAGTTCCAGACAGGACAGTTAAGATCTTGCATTTTGAAAATTTGCAGTGCACATTTTAATAGCTTGTGTTTATACTTTATTCTCCTCTGCCAGATTTGCAGAAAGGAAGGGAAAAAAATCCATTATTGCAGCAATTAGTGAGTTGGATCATGGATAAAATATGCATGTACTGGTAGCCAAGATGGGTCAAATACAAGGGAATTGTTACCTTTTTTCAAAATACATGCTTAAGAGGCAGCTGTTTTACCTGAAGATAGCTGGTAAGTCTTTCCATTGCTCAGTGGCCTGGTCTGTGGTCTCTCTCTTCAAAGTGCTTTCTGTGGTTTTGTTAGTGGTTTTCACCAACTCTGCCTGCCTTTTGTAGTTAAAAGACTCATCAGCTAGCCTTAAGACTGGTTTTTCTCCTCTAAAGTATTAGAAGATCAGAATTTTGTTTCTAAGAACTGCTGGCCAAGGCATTCTCTTACTTTTCTCTTGCGATATGCACAGGAGTGTTTAATTGCATTAAAAAAAAAAAGGAATACTGTGATTCTTCAAATTACAAAGTATTTAATATTTTTGTAAAATAATATGGTAAACAAGGTTTGTTGACTTTGGACTTTGTTTCCTCATTTTGGGAAGTACAGAAGAATGCAAACTTCTGTCTGTATGGGTATTGTATCAAGGGCTAGATCAAGGGCTGGTGCTAGTTCAGTATT